CCCCCCCCCCTTTAAAAAAAGAAAGAAAGAAAGAAAGAAACTAGTGTGTTGCTAGGCTAGTGGTACATGCCTGTAATCCCAGTGACTTGTGTGCTAAAGTTGGAGGCCCGCTTTGGCAACATAATGAGACCCTGCCTCAGAATAAAAAAATAAAAGACTGGGGATGTACTTCAGCCATTAAGTGCCCTTGGGTTCAATCCCCAGGAGCAAAAAAAAGAAAAAGAAAATGTCCTGTGAAGATATGATGCCTAGATCTAAGACTAATGCATAGATCCAAGACTAATGTAGTTGAGCATAGTGGTATATGCTTGTAACCCCAGTGGCTTGGGAGGCTGAAGCAGCAAGATTGCCAGCTTCAGCAATTTAGTGCTTAGGAGCAATTTAGCAATACCTTGTCTCAAAATAAAGTATAAAAAATGGGCTGGTTGCTGGGCATCATTGTGCACTCATGTAATCCCAGCAATTTGGGAGGCTGAGGCAGGAGAATCAGGAATTCAAAGCCAGCCTCAGCAATTTAGTGAGGTCCTAAGCAAGTCAGCGAGACTCTGTCTCTAAATAAAATATAAAGAAGGGCTGGGGAGATGGCTCCGTGGCCCTGGGTTCAATTCCTGGTACCAAAAAGGGACTAATGCACAGATAATCATTGAGATGCCAACCCAACTCAGTGGTCTAACATTGTGAAGTTGTTGACCCAATCTTAAAACCACCCATCTTCAGATTTATTTAGGAAACAATAAGTGTTTGTTCTTTTTTTTTTTAATTTATTTTTTAAATTGTAGTTGGACACAATACCTTTATTTATTTATTTTTATGTGGTACTTAGTATTGAACCCAGGGCCTCGCACGTGCTAGGCGAGCGCTCTACCATTGAGCCACAATCCCAGCCCCAGTGTTGGTTTTTATATTTAAGCTATTTGAGTAGGCTTCATCCCCTGTGCCTGGGACAATATTTGGCACATAGTAGTTGCTTAATATGAAATTTGTTTAATGTTGAACTTGGTCATGAGATGTGATATAAAGTAAGGAATGAAGGTTAGTGAAGGGAAAGGGAGGAACGAGATTTGATTGCAGATAGGACTGGATTCAATTCTAATCAAGAAATGAAAGATGAAGACCAGGCAGAGATACACATGAGAATTTTTTGTCAGAGCTGACAAATAAAGGCCATATCTCTATAGGAGAGAGAGGCAAAGCAGGTTTGGGTTCCGGGACTATTAAAGGGAAGGCTCAGGAATCAGAGCCACAAGAGTCCTAATGCAGGTGGTTAGGGGTTGGGTTGGTGTGAGAGAGTGGTGAGTCTTTCTCAAAAATGCCCTTGGTTGGGAAAGCAAAACTTTTTCCTTAAAATGGCGGTTGTCACTTAAGATGACCATCCAGATACTAAGCAAGGACTTTCTAGTTAGTTTGCAGGTTTTTTGTTTAAATAACTGGGTGAAGGTTAATGTGTTTTTCATTGATATTAGAATGTTAAAGGAAGAAGTAGGTGAGAAGTGAAAAAGGGACAGAATAAGCTAGCAGTTCAGCTTTTTTTTTTTTTTTTTTGGTACT